ATAATTGTTATGGGCAGGTTATAATATAAAAATGTTTGTCATAATCATGTCTTGTGATTATTTGACAGGAGTTTAACTTTTAAAATGTAAGGGTGTTTAATTTAGTTATAATGTAAATACAATAAAAGTATTTTTGTATATTTTTTGTGTATTATTTTTGTACAGTTTTGAATAACGTGTTGGACAGTTCTCAGCCAGATTTTAGTCGTAAAAGCATTCTCTTTGGATGTTTAATCTGATTCAGGCCAATAATCTGACCCTCCTGAAGCAGAGGAACATCTTCCTCCTGACCTCAGGATGTGAGGCAGCTCACTGCATCAGTTAGAGTTAAATCACTTGCAGTTACAGTAGTTATCACTTTGTTTTGTTGAATCACAGGCAGAGTGCCTAACTGTGTGTTTTTGTGTTTCAGTTTGCTCCAGTTGGTTCTGTCCGGCCCGGTGATGTACTACAACAACATCCACACCCCTCCTCTAGCCTACAGCCCCCACGCGGCTCATTCACCCATCGCCTCGCACGCCCCGCTCCCCACACGCTCCCCACACACACCTCTGACCTCCCACGCCCAGTACCCCGCTCAGCCGTTCATGTCGGGGATGCCGTTCGCCTTCCGACCCGGCCACTGAGACCCGGGCGGAGCCGACCGGACCGCAGGCGTGGCGTGGTGAGAGGATGCTGAGCATGCGCTGGACTTCTCTGTGTTCTGGTTTTCACTCCAGACGTGCTCGTTGAATAAATATTTTTTTATTTAATTTGTGGCGTAGTGCTTGTTATTGACCACATGAGGTCGCTGTTTTCACTGTAATCACTTTGTGTGTTCACAAGACTCGTTTTATTATTTTTTTAAACTATTTTAGTATTGCAAAACTGAGTTGTCGTTGGCAGGAAATTTCAGTAGAAACACACATGGGGTGATTCTAAAGAACTGGTGGCATGAAGTGACCTGTTGGTGTTAGCACACACGTAATAATACCTGAGGCAGTCCTCCCCCCTCAAAAAAAATAAATAACTAGAGCTCATTACGTAACTGAAAGATGTCACTGTCTGTTTGAGCCAATGGCTGTGCGCTCAAGCCTCTGCCTGTTCTGATACAGATAAGATAAAACATCCAACCCACCCCTTCCTTCAGCAGGACCCCAGCTGCTATCATCCAGGTTGATGATTGCATCATCTACTGGGCTCTTTGCTGCATTAATACCTGTTTTACTTCCTCCTTTCAGACAAAATGCAGAAGTTGAGCCGTGGAGTCTAAATGTGTTTTTCTTTCGGGTCTTATTTCCTTTGAAGCAGCTGTGTTCGTTAGGCAGGATGAGAAAACCGTGACGCATTAACGCTCTCTTTAATCCAGTCTTTGTCCAATCCGGGGCGGTGATGATGTCCATCGCACCCCTGACTCTGCTGCAGATTGTGGCGCCTCTGGGTGTCCTCCCTGCAGAGAGGGTGGGACGCTGATCTGGAGATCTGTTCTTGGAAAGTGATGCGTTGCAGTTGGGCTGGTGAAGGTGACGTGCAGAGATACCATTTCAAGTTAAAAAGGCGGGATGAGAGCGAGGTCGTGTTGAGCAGAGTAATTGTATTTCTTTTCCTTCCTCCATTTGATGTTCTGTTTGTAAGGAAACACGTTGGAATGATGCGCTCAGGAAGTAATCTCTGATTTGATCCACTTTTGAGGTCAACCAAATTCAAGATGGCCGTCACAGCCTAAAACTCAGTTTATTTTACAGATATGGACATAAAGTTGTGTGCAATATGAGGTCATGCATACAAGTTATTTCTCTTTATTTGATCTTTTATGTTATTTAAACTTGATTTAGTATATTTTCTTTCTCATTGTCCTGTCTGGTAATGTGAAACTCAGAATTGATGTCTTAGTGTCCAAATGAAGTCCAACAGTTTTACTTTCACAAGTGCAGCATAATGGGGGTGGGTGCATGTCCTGGACCTGGGGGGTATAGAGTGTGTATCGGGTGTATGAGTGGAAAGTGGCGTCCTTGTATGTCTGATTGAGTGGGGGTGAGGATGAGGGTGGGATGGTGCGATTGTGTATGTTTGGGTATTTGTCAGGCTGTGGTCTGGGCTGCCCCTACTGCTGGTTTATCTGGGGGCCCGCTGCTACTCGGCCTCCCGGTGGGGTGTGTGCTGGCC